AATATCTGTGAAAAATCACGGAACTTTTTACCGAACGTTCAGTGGTGAAATTTCGGTAAATTTCACATAAATCAGTGAAATAATCTTGGTGTAGCTTGTAGCTTGATTTCAATGTTGTTTCAAGTGCAATGAATTCTAACAAAAGTTGTTTTCCCACACCATGTATCCATGTACTACAGAGCTACAAACGTTCTTTGGATCAATCATATCAACAGGCTATAGTACTTCATCATGATTACGTATTTGAGGTGTTTCATAATTGCAGTCCAGTAATCAGTGGCATTTTTGATTACACTATCAGGCAGCTGAACTGCATGCAATGGCAGGGTATTCAAAATGCGCTTGTTCATAGCACTTATGTGATAAAGGCTTCAAACTTTAGCAAAGAAAAGAGGTTATCAAGATTTGACGTCATTTCAAGCTGAACAATGCATTAGGTCCTAAGAAACATTTACAGATTCTCTTCGTCAATTTTCTCTTTGCATCCTCAAGGCCATGTTAAGACATTCCCAGCTAACTCCCAGAAACTCCATCAATGTTACTTAGGACCAAATACAATGTTAAGCTTGCATTTGAACTTTAACAACAACGTACGACGTGTTACTATGATCAGCTGCAGTCCTTCATCCCATATTGCAATGCTTCCGATAACCGTTGTGATAGATCGTTATTTTTCTGTCGTTGAGTGCCTTTCTATTCGTCTTTTGTAAAATGTCTTTTACGCTGCTGCAAACGATTTTTTAAGACACACGTGACATCGTTTGAATTAATACGTTAGTCCAATAATGAACTGCTTGACCCTGGGCAAGCTAATAACCCAATAGATAGAACAAGCACCATTCGAAAGCTATGACGTTGAAGAGTCACCGTAAAAGGTCTCCACCATGTCAATCATGCGAAGTACCTACACTGTACAATGCACATCGGTGTGCTTAGAAGTCCTCTTACAGTAGCTTTATGCTATGTTCGCACAACGGTCTTGTGATATGTTTTAAGGCAATCTTGATGACGTTTTTCTTGATGATAATTCTTATAATACCCTTTTAACACGTTATAACTCTGTTGTTCGAACACGGCATTAGCTTGCCTTCTACTTCCCCAACCACTACCTATACGCGTAGCAATATCTACCAAAGCACAGTAATACAAACGTACTTGAAAATCCATGTCAGAAGCAGATTTCTATTTTCATGCTTAAAAGCTCATGGTTTGAAACTTACACATTGTTATTCAGAACGTACTCTTTCTCCATTATCAAGGAGAATTATTCACACTTTCTCAATTCTGGATTGCTTTTATTGTGATATCACTTTTCCAAGGTATAGATTCACTTGCTCATACCACACTTGTTCTTGTACGATATCTCACTCGCGACCAGTTTCCGTCGAAAACAAAAAAAAAACACTAACTCTTATTACACAACCGAATTAGCTAGCCTTTCTTCGATTCCGGTTCCAGTGAGACGATACCTTGCGCGATCCGACCAAACAAAACATTAAAAATGAACTAGTTCCACTATGTGCAGTTTGATTCGAACGGGTCCAAGAATATACAAAACGAGGCGATAACAAGTCTTTAGCACTATAAAACAGAACAGTGCCTACTGCGATTGCGCAGCTAAATTCGCGCTGACTTGGCCGACTGTGATTACTAATGTTTGTTTTCCATTCACACAAGCTCAAAGCAGGCTGGCATCGTTTGTGATCATGACTTGATCGAGAGTGCCTCGCGTGTTGGTGAGAGTCTTCTTCGTTAGATCTAAGGTACACTGGGATGAAGAGGGCTCAAAAGCGATGGTTAATGTTTGATCTAGCTACACCACGAATACGTTTTGGTATGTACGACCAAATCCAAGAAAATGTTTGCGAAATATTAACATCTATATGTATATATTTGTATTCAAATTTGAAAAGTTGGTGCTAAGCGAACACCCTCAGCAAGAAATCAACGGAATTCATGCTGATGTATCAAATATCGATGTACTCAATTGCAGAAACAGCCACTATGGATGCAAATTTGTGCGCACATTCTGATGAACAACAGGTCATCAACGAAATATTGCACAACCAATGGAATGACCTATGTAAATCTGTTTCGATGTAATGTTCAACAACCTGTTTTGTTGTGCAAATTTCAAATCAAATCCCAATTTTATGGTCAGATAATTCAGAATACATTTGCCATGTTCAAAAATTCATTGAAAACTATCTGGATTTCAGCCGCATAACATTACAAGAAACATAAATTTAGTAATCTGAAACATTTTCGTTGATAAATTATAAAACTAATAAGCATTTTCACCTACTATAATTTTCAGGCGATAGTAAAGGAAAACAAACACTATGAACAAAACATATTCGTCTCGCAATATTGCTCATTTCCTTCGACAAATTAATTGAATGAGTCTACAAGAATTAAAAAAAAAAAACTAATTTTATTTGCTGTTTAATTACATGGGTAATTTCAATTTGATTCCATAATGAAAAAAAAAATACATTCTCGTAAAATGTCGCTTGAAGCAATTATTTGCAACGATTTCACCGTAGTAGAGCGAAAATCAGATACTATTCAAAAGTTGAACGGCTTGATCGTCAAACTTCCCCCAGTGTACCTTATCGTGAGCCGCGGCGGCGAGACCTGTGTGCGTGTGCTTCTAACGGTTGGAGCTTTGCGGAAATGTTCAACTTCAACACTACACGAATAGGCTGCAGAAACCTTCGACGGTCAGGTCATTACGAGTCGAGTACGATCAATCACTTGAGTTGTATTACTACCGCTGAATGCTATTCTGTTCTGACGCTTTTGCTATATTGCTGGCGACCGGAGTGATGACTGATAGCTGTGAAACTTGACGCAAAAGTAACAGTTTTAAAATCTAAGATCGTTGTACAAAGTACAACTTTCAGATGATAGTTGATTTGGACGTTGAACTTATTTAGATGACATGTTACGCGTCGTGTGTAGCATTAGATTATTCTTGTTTTTCCATACGGAAATTGAATGTTGGACATTTGTCAAGTCGTTTACAACTTTCAATGAAAAATGTGGTACAGCATCTCGCAATAATTTTGATATGTTTGTTTCTTCATTTTCCAGATTATTGGGATTTGAATGATCGAGTATCAGATAAAAAGTGGAATATAATTTATATGTATTAGAGTGATCGTACATCAATTTGGAAAAATGCTTGGATGAGGGAAAAAAGTGCACTTTTCCCATAGTAATTCCCAAATAACTTTTAAACGCCCAGTGCAGATTCAGGTTACAAACAAATTCTGGGAGGATCACAAGATTTGATTTAGAATCAATTGTGATGCATGGTGCAAAATTGATGATTTTCAATTTTGCACCATGCATCACAATTGATTCTAAATCAAATCTTGATGATCCTCCCAGAATTTGTCTGTAACCTGAATCTGCACTGGGCTTTAAACGCTATTTGGGAATTACTATGGAAAAAGTGCACTTTTTTCCCTGATCCAAGCATTTTTCCAAATTGATGTACGATGCTATTTGTACTTACAGACAGTTATCTCACTTACAACTTGGGTTGACCACTTTTAACTGAACGTCAAGAAAATAATAAGAAATGAACCAGCCTACGGCTGAAAATCTCTTTAATAAGCAAACCATAACCATACGGAAGTAAGAAATTAGTTTATTTGTAAACTGATATGGAAAACCGACAGCTTTCTAGGTAATACTGCAGTTTTCACTACATAGTATCTGGATTTGGGTACCCTCCCAATAAGCATTGAATACTAAATAGGAGCTTATTCAGGCAAAAATTTGCTTCTTCAGCAATAAAAAAATGCATATACAGATTTCTTGCAGTTTAAATTGTTTGATGGGATTATTCTCGCCAGCTTCACCAATGTTGAATGTATCTTCAGTTGATTGATATCAGCCATGATCATGATCTTCTTAATTCATTAGTAAAGTTTGGTCCAGTTAAAATCCGGAGGTAAGAGATCAGCCATACGTCGGGATTCGTTTGACGTGAAGAACACGTTAAGTAGACAAAATTATGGTTTTTAATTGTAGGTACATAAGACAAATATAAATTAAACTGGGAAATGTGGGACTGGGAAAATAAATAGTTTTTTTTAGAGCCTGCTACACAAAAAAAAATGTGTTTATCACATTTAAATCTTATGGTATAATTGACTTCGTTTTTTTCCTTGATTTGTTTTCTGCCGATCTTGTTTTCCATGCTGACCACCAATGCTACCGACACCAAGGAGGCAGCTCCCACACCTGGACCCTACCTATCGACCCATCAACTCACCTTCACAACCTTCTCGATAATACCTTTGGGCATGTTTTTATCGATGACCATCACCAAAACACCTACCGCGTACTCGTAATAGTGTCGGTTGTCTGTCCATTTATATCGTTTGACCAACTCTGGGTGATAAGCGGACACCCATTTACGCCAAAAACGGCTTAATTACTTCGCATATTACTGTTCGCAGAACCAAATCAGTAGGATTTCTCTACTGGCTGTTTCGGAATCACACCGACGCAGTTCGCTCACATGGGAATGGGAAAAATCTTCTTCGCACAAACTACCGTGGGAACTCTTCTTTGAAAGGGGATACTGGTGTCTTATTTATCTCAGAAACGGCAAATCAAATACACTGATAATTCGTCAGATAACAAATTTTATTGAACATGAGTCAAGATTAATTTAAAGGATACTGAATTTTGTTGTTGAAATCTTCCTCATGGCTTACATGCAACTAGTGACTGAATTCAACGAGATTGTCTTAATTTGTTCTTTATGGAAAACGAAAGTAAGGAACAGGATCGATGATGGTTGTGATACCTTTTCAAAACTAACAATGCACCGAATAGTAATTACAACTATCTAAGCTTGATCTAAATTAGGTGTACATAATTACCGTTGCGTGATTGAACGAAACGAAACTGTGATTTGACTACCAACATGACATGACATATATAGCTGCAACAGTTGATCCTACAGCACGGGCGGAGTTGTTGGCAAAATGCCGTGCATGAAGATGTGCTGTTTTCAGTTCTCAACTCGATTGGGAAGCATTATAGTTGGAATTTCCTCCATGGTACGTGTTAAAGTGCATTTGGCTTATCTGTTGGTTCAATTAACAAAGTTAAAATGTTTCCAGCTTCAAGTTCTAATACCAGCAATTGTTCTCATCGGTGTCGGTGGAGCAGATCGACTGAAAATTGTGGCTTCCGATATGAATGACCACATTAACGATTTTGGACAAGATGCAATTTTCATATGGCTTCTAAATTTTACGTATAGCGATCCTAAAGGAATATTTCTCGGAACTGTGTTATTTTGTGGAATTCACGCATTGTGTTGTGTTTTGATGATTATTGGAGCTATAAAAGTAAATGAAAACCTGAAATGCGAAGTTAAGTAGTGTTTTCTAACGTGTTCTCATTGTAGTTTCAGAAATATTTACTTACACCATTCATTTTCATGGATTTCTTAAGGTTATGCATTCTCTCACTAACACATGTCATCGGTATGATGGTAATCAAGAAACAGCTTAACCTTGGGGATTTGATAGCAATTACTATTGCTGGTGGATTTGGATTGCGTGAGTATTAAGAGATGTGCCTTTCGAGTTTCAAATATTAAATCAACTGTTTCAGTTCTGTTATTTTATCTATGGGCTTGCGTTGTAGCATTGTACCAAATATTGGGCATTGTAAAAACGGAAAAATATCGCAAACTTTTCGGAAACGACCCAATCAGTCGAAACAATATTTCTACGGCAAACGACGAGAACACAACAAATCTTCAACCAACTGTAACAACAAAGGATAAATATTTCACATATAACTCAAACTTCTCAAACGAATATTCCAAGGATAACGTTCACGAATATACTAATTGAAAATGCTACGCAACAAACAAAAATCAAGGTAAATATAGATTTGAGGTTAGATCTTTGCACATGAATCAATTTTAATTCAAGCAATATGCTGTTCAAAACTTAACTCATTAAAAGAAATAAAAAATCCTGAATCCAGATTTTTGAAGTTTTTTTTTTTTTTCATTATTTCAGGATTTTGACCATATAAGACCTTAGAATTATTTTACTGCATACAATGTATGGAATATTTCATGAAGTGTCTCATAAATTTACATCATCTATAATATAAACTTGTATGATATATGACGCTCCCTTTATGTGCATCATAGTAACAGAAATTTACACTACTGTTCCGAACTGTGTATGAATATCGTAGGTAATAATGGGAACTTAAGACCATATTTGCCACGTCCGGATATGCCCTGGGTACCCTGGTGAAGTGGTCAACTATTGGTATGTGTCAAAACTAATCAAGTGACACATGAAATCACAGTAGCATTCTAGAACAAGATCATTAGCGGTGACGGTGGATCTATATTGGTCATATATATTGTAGGCATCTATAACATTAAATATTCTGACATTAAAATTGCATCTTGCCCCGATGGTAAACTATTTACGAAAATGCTGCTATTTGCAAACGTAAAATCTAAATTTATTTACTTTTTCAAAATATAACCTACACACTTAGAAAAAAATCATTTAAATGTAGGTTCTATGAGAGTGACATATACGAGCGTCAATATTGACATAAAATTTAGTCATAACAGACGCGAAATTCAGATCATTCAAGTGTACTTTTCGTCGAGCAACGAACTTTTCAGTCTCGGAGCACCTTATATTTTATGTCAAAGACGGATTCCGTCACGTGTAAAATTAGTTGTTTCTAAATGTGTAGTAGTGAACTACACACTTAGAAATAACTAATTTTACACGTGACGGAATTCATCTTTGACATAAAAGATGAGACGTAAACCAACATGTTAGCGTTAGCGTTAGCGTTAGCGTTGTTATGATATACTTCGTAGATTGGATACTAGCGACACTCAAGTCTCTTCTGAAATTCTCAGTTAGACTACTTTCAGGAATAATGCTGGGGAGTAAACATTGGTTCCAATCTAAACAAGAGTAACAGAAGCATGACTGTCGCTATTCCCGGCCACGCCCATCTTTACCATAACTAGGGATAGGGAAGGAAATGTTGATGTAGTACTTACTTAACGAAAGGCCACCGACTTAGCGACACCCTCATAAGTGCTACGGAGTTGGAGGGTTGGGTAGGGTATTCGGTTAGGATTCACCTCAAGTTGGCGATGCAACCAAAAGTATGTATTGTTTATTTGTTGTTTATTTAATCTCTCGATAGCCGGCTATCGAAAGAACATATTAATTTTGTTTAGTGATAATGAATTTTAAGAGTCATGACGGAGAGCTTGGGATTAAATCTATGATTTTCTGTTCAGTAAGCAAAAACGATCCCTCCAGGGTCATCGAGCATCTCAGAACCATAACGCTTCGCGACAATACAGGACTACGTTTTCGCTTGATATGCAAATAGTTTCCGAGGTTAATGTTCAATATCAAATATACAAATGATGGTGGCGATTTATTGTGCTGTGGAAGAGCTTGGGGTTAAATCCATGATTTTCTGCTCAGTAAGCAAAATCGATCCCTCGAGGGTCATCGAGCATCTTATAATCCACAGCGCTTTGAATAACTATTATTTACGATAATTACATGAAATAAATAAAATATAAACTACAAACAAAACGTGACTGCTAAAATCTCAAAAAGATATTCTCACAAATATATTTCACGCCACCAGGAATCTCAAAACCATTAGACGCTATAATGATACTCTGCACATGTTAGACACAAGAAGAGGCCAAAAAGCAAGCGTCCGACAAACAAAACCCGTCAAATCCACTTGCAGTCACAATCAACGATTCTACGAATCGCGAGCGCTCACGAATCATAAAACCGCTGACTGCGACACTCTGAAAGCGAAATTGACAGGCTCTATGTGTCAAACACCCAACCATGCAACCATTCTTCATGATACACTTTTTCTGCCTATCTTTCTATTAGGCCTGTGGACATGTGTTAGCTTCGAAACTTCTAACCAAACTGGGTAAATTTTCAGATCACAAAAAAAAAACTTGAAAAAAAAAACTTTCAAAGGTAATTACAAGTAAAATAAATATTGATTATTTTACGCAAAAACGAGCAAGTAATATTAAATCTCTTGTATCATATGCTAATGCTAATTGACTGTAACAAAAATAATGTGCTTAAATAAAATAAAATATTAATAAAATTATATGCAAAATTTACAAGAAGATCATTACTTTATTGGTGAGAAGTTTTTAATAAGCCCTCCCAGTTCCTCTGTATACATAACAAATCTGATACTATAATCAGAATTGCTCAGTCTGCATGAAGCAGCCGATTGCATCAAGGAAGTTCTATTAACAACCAGGAATTAATCGTTTGAGGTATACTGAAGCATTAAGAAGGTGATATGTGTCACTATAGGAAATCATCATCGTTGCAAATATAAAGAAATTAAACATAACCCTTTGCTTCAGTACCGTCAACCTCCATGTCCATGGGGAGGGAAGACGTAAACCAACATGTCATGTAACACTAAGTGCTCCGAGACTGAAAAGCAGGGATCGGGTGCTACTCAATTTTTTCCGAGTAAAACACACGCTGTTGTGAGACTGCACTTTCATTTCCAAAGAGACGTGAAAGAGCACGTGCTGCACAATGCACATTTCATTTTTCTTGTGTTGGAGAGCTGCCGCTCCAACGGTTTTAAATCACTTTCTCTCTCTCTTTGTTTCTCCGACAGTGTATTTTCTCTATAACTGTAGCGTTCGATTGAAAATGAACCAATACAACTATTAAATTGATTCTGTGAAAAAAAAAATCTCGTGCCCATCATTTGAAGAGCCCCTTCCTCATTCGAAGCTCATTGTCACTGTCAATTAAGTCACCCACTATCATTTGATATACGACAGTGGAATGTGGAAGAAACCCATCAAAATGGTCCCGAACAGACAAGTCGACCCGATGTCGGATCAATGTAAGGCTAATTTAAGGTCGATGTCGACCCAATGTCGTGTTGTTGTCGGGTTAATTTGGGGTTTATGTCGGGTCAATGTCGGGTTAACATCGGGTTAGGGTTTGATAGAAGTCAGGTTGGTGTCGGGTTGGTTTAGATTTTTTGCCGGAACGTCGACCCTTGTGAAGAAAATTACACATCGATCTTTAAAAAATCTCTTTAGGAAAAGCATCAAAATTTGCATTTTCCTACGCTTTTGAATACTATATAGGGTTACGGTATGTAATGTGGGTCTAGTCCTTTCATTCGGCCTATCACGCAAATAAATAATTAATTAAGGAATATTACACAAAAAATAAGGAAAATATTGATCACTGATGGTTGATAAATGTGTACCACACACAAATCAATTTATATCACAACATTTCAATACATTTTCAGCTCTCGTAAGTAATAAAACTGGTTGAGAATATCACAATGTTCGGAGTTTTTAGCCGCCATGACTTATAAGGTTAAGATGGGAAGGTTGACTGACGATCATCAAATGGCCTGATTATGGCATTTATTGATTGGAATTACCTGATAATACACACTAGACGTAAAACTTACAGTTGCTGTTTGAATATTTTATGTTTATTTTAATTGTTTAACAACGTTTTCACAAGTAAAACATGGACCCAACTTTAGGGACACATTTCTTTTCTATGTTCCTAACTATGGCCCATGAAATTCATTTGACAGCATATAGCAATAAGAGTAACGTCAACAATGTTGTTTTGCATTTGGATGATAAGGAACGAACAGGAAGGGAGATTTTTTCTGCCAAACCTGTATAATGAACATCACAATGTTCTGATTTAGATATTCTGCGGTCAAAAGACGATAAGCGAAATTTTTAATTTTTAATTTTTAAATTGAGTGATTTAATGTAGTTTTCGTAAAATTTTCTGGCTGCATATTAGACCGAGGTTAGGGACGTATACCCTAGTCACTGCAACATATATTATATGAGTGTAAAAATATTCTGCACCCAGCCTTAAAAATTTAAGTTAAAATATGGAGCCATTCTTGTAAATCTCTAAGCCACGTCTCTCCCCATTGAAAAGTGCTACTCCCGTCATAACACCGTGCACTACTCGATTGTGCTATACGCAAGTAGCACCTGAAATCTCTCTCTCCTTAGTCTCTTTCTCTTTCCAAATATAAGAGACGCGCTCCCTTATTTTAGAGTAGCACCAGTGTTTTTTGCACCACTCTGAGTTTTTAGTCGATCCCTGCTGAAAAGTTCGTTACTCAACGAAAAGTACACTTGAATGATCTGAATTTCGCGTCTGTTATGACTAAATTTTATGTCAATATTGACGCTCGTATATGTCAGTCTCAGAGCATCTAGATTTACATGAATTTTTCTAAGTGTGCAGGAACAAGATAGTAATCAATGTTGTTAGCATTTTACTGCTTTGGTGAATTACATGATTCATGATTTTAACCAGCGAGCGATCCACGACGGAAGACCAAAGCGGCACAGCTTTGTGACAGCGAGTTCGAAAGGGAGTTTGTCCAAAACCTTAGAGAAGTCAATAGAGATTAGTGACGTTTAACGCATGCACACTAGCGCGTGCATCGTCGTTTAAAGTTGTCTATTAAGCGGTGCCGGTATCCACTATCAATCGGCATCTACTTTCATATTTTGTGAAGAAACTATCGACTTTTATAATGAAAATGTGAAACAACATCAAGTCAGTTCGTCCCATCAAGCAAACTAATCGCATAGCAGTCCCATCTTAAAATTCAATCGTCCAGAGGTCAAGTTACAGTTCTGCTTTTTGAATTTCCATATTTTTCGCTGATATAACAAAACATGCAAGCTGCATTGCAACTGATTTTAATTTTAAAATATTATCAAATAATGAACTATGATTTTTCAAATATGGGAATTTCACTTCGTATTTTCGACTGTCATTTTATCAATGCCTACTTTTTCCATATGGGGCTGATATACAATTATAGGCAGTGTAATGGTAAGCGTGATTGGTCC